ACGTCCTTCGGGCACTCGCCGTTGCGAGAGCTGGTGGAGGAGCTGTTCTGCTCACCTGAAAACAGCCCTCTGGGTAAGGTGGGACGAGGACAGTGCCATACGCGCTGGTGTTGCTGTGCTGCATGAGCCGCGTGTCGCAGGAAACACAAGGTTTCATGTGGCAGTTCCCTGTGTGTGATGAACGAGTTGGACTATGACACGTGGGTGCACTGGTGGTCAAAACGCTCCTGCTGAGGAGAGTCGGCCTCTGCCCTGGCGTTGGCTCCGTGCGCGTGCAGTTGGCTCCACTCCTGAGGCAGAAGGGGAGGGCTCCTGTGAGTTACAATCCCATTGTGGGTTTTACTCTGTTTCCTGTTTGTTTGATTTCTTGCCACCCTCAGCACTTCAGTGTTGCGATGAGATGATGCCAGGTATGTCGGAGCCTGCCTGGTTCCTTGCAGCAGTTTAACGTGGTACACGAATGAGAGGAGCTGGGGACACACGTCAGATGATGTTGTCCCGTTACCAGTGTCACTTAACCCAGCCGCTCTTGGCCGCGGTGTGTTCTGGTCTCTCGCACGCTGCCGGGGCGGCTGTCCTGCCGTGCCGTGGTCCGTGCTGGCCGTGCTCCCCTGGCCGGGCCCATGCGGAGCGCTTGCCGCGTGCTCCTGAGTTCCCGCTGCCCCGAGACCCGACGGTGCCGGCGGGTGTTCTGCTCTCCCGCCCCCCGTGCTGCTCCTGGCTCTTTCCACGCAGTCAGCAGTTGCGTCCTAAATCTCCATCGCTGCAAATCTTCCAGCGGAGATTCAGCAGCGATTAGAGGTCGTGCTCAGAGCGAGTAATGCTGCGCCGCCGCGCTTGTCTCTGGGGCACCCGCCTCATCTCCCCCCAGGGTCAGGGCGGACATCCGCACCGAGCTGCTGGTGTCATTGGTGTCGCGCTCGCTTATCCCTCCTTTTTGCTGTTGGCTTTACTCACTGCGCTGCTCTAGCTACCCCCCACGCGAGCCAGCTCTGAACTGTGTCCCCGAGGATGGAGCAGCGTTGCCCGGCATCCTTTCTCTTTACCCTGCCCGTGTGATCTGCTGCGGGCGTGCGTCCCCTTCCAGGGGAACCGGACATGTTTCTTGACTATGTGCTCCTTTCTAGACAACACCTTTGGTCTTCAGCAAGCCCTGAAATGGTGGTGGTCAGTAACTGTCTCCTCCCCGAGAGCTTCCAGGTTCCCACAGCTCTCTGTTCCTGCTGGCCTTCCTCTGGAGCCCCGTTTGCTCCAGCGACTCCGCTCTCCTCTCTCACGGTGTCCTCCCTCAACAGGAACAAGGACACCACCAGGGACGAATTCATCTTCTACTCCAAGCGCCTGATGAGGCTGTTGATCGAACATGCCCTCTCCTTCCTGCCACTGAAGGTGAGCGACCGCTCCTCTGGTGCGGCCACGGCCGCGTCTCCCCCTCCCTGAGCCCCCGTGCCACGCGGCGCCCGGCTTCGTCCGCACTCCCTTCTCCCCTTTCTGCAGTCGGTCACTGTGGAGACGCCCCAGGGGACAACGTACGAAGGAAAGCGGTTCCACAGGCAGAGGGTGAGATGTCATCCCGGCCCCTTTCTCCCCACGAGCACGTGGCTGCCCCATCCCGGGTGGGCATGGACTGGGAAAACTGGCCGGCCCCGGGGTCCGTCCCTGTGCAGACAAGCCGCTCAGTGGGGTTGTCCCCCCTCCCATGGTGCCGGAGCCTCGGGAGCTCACCGGAGCTGCTGCGAACCAGGCGAACATGGTCTCCTCCCTTCCCCAGATCACAGGTGTGTCCATCCTGCGAGCCGGGGAGACCATGGAGCAGGCCCTCACCGCTGTGTGCAAGGACATCCGCCTGGGCAAGATCCTCATCCAGACCAACCACGACACGGGGGAGCCTGAGGTGAGCAGCTGAGCCCCCCGGCACCGCAGGATGGGCGACCACCTCTCCTTCCCTTGGGTCCCCCGGCACCGCAGGATGGGTGACCACCTCTCCTGCCCCTGGTGCCACGGGATGGGCGACCACCTCTTCTCCTCTCAAGACCCCCAGCACCACAGGGTGGGCAACCACCTCTTCTCCCCTCGAGACCCCCAGTGCCACGGGGTGGGCGACCACCTCTCCTCCCCTTGAGTCCCCCAACACCACGGGATGGGCGACCACCTCTCCTTCCCTCTGCAGCTCCACTACCTGCGCCTTCCCAAGGAGATCAGTGAGGACTACGTCATCCTCATGGACAGCACTGTGTCCACCGGCGCTGCGGCCATGATGGCAGTGCGCGTCCTGCTGGTGAGGGGCCAGGGGGGTCGGGGGGGTCGCGGAAAAAACCCTTTCGTCCCCTGGCGCCGGCCAGGCTCTCAGGGCTCTGCGTGCCGCAGGATCACGACGTGCAGGAGGACAGGATCTTCCTGCTGTCGCTGCTGATGGCGGAGATGGGGGTGCACTCCGTGGCCTACGCCTTTCCCCGCGTCCGCATCATCACCACCGCCGTGGACAAGAGGATCAACGAGGAGTTCCACATCATCCCGGGCATCGGTGAGGGCGGGCAGGGGTGCGCTGGGCCCCGCG